CACCTGCTCCAGAGATTGACGACCAGTGACGTTTCTAAGCAACCCGGCGCCATCACCCATACACTACTCGTCAACGGCCACGGTGGCGTACTGAGCGACATTTTCGTTTCGAGAATCGAGGAGGACCTCTTCCAAGTAGGTGCAAACACAGCGACCGATCTTGCCTACCTCACGCGCGAAGCTCGCCGTCAACACAAGCACACATCCGGTCAGTGGGCTCAGGTGCGAGACATCACTGGAAGCACATGTTGCCTTGGTCTCTGGGGTCCCCGCGCACGAGACGTCATTCGCACGGTGAGCTCCGATGACTACAGCAACAAAGGCTTGCCGTACATGGGTGTGAAGAAGACAAGCATAGCTGGAATTCCCGTCACCATGTTCCGAAAATCGTTCGTCGGAGAGTTTGGTTGGGAGATTCAGACCACACCTGAGTATGGCCAGCGTCTTTGGGATATATTGTGGGAGTCGGGCAAGCCCCACGGTCTAGTCGCTGCTGGTCGCGCTGCCTTCAACGGACTGCGAATCGAGAAGGGCATCCGAGCCTCGGGTTCCGACATGACCTCCGAGCACAACCCTTGGGAGGCTGGCGTGACGTATGCGATCCAGATGGACAAGAAGGCGGACTACGTTGGCAAGGGTGCGCTGGAGCAGCTTTCGAGGAAGGCAGCATCTAAGCGACTTCGATGCTTGACGGTCGACGACGGTCGTTCGGTGGTTCTGGGCAAGGAGCCTGTCTTCGTGGAAGGTCAAAGAGCGGGCTATGTTACCAGTGCCGCCTTCGGCTACACGGTACGCAAGCCTGTCGCATACGCATGGCTACCCAGCACTGTGAGTGAAGGGAAGACCGTGGAGATTGAGTACTTTGGCAAGAAGATCAAGGCCACAGTGACTCGCGATCCATTGCACGATCCTCAGGAGCAGCGCTTGAGGGGTGAAGGATCATCCGAGAAGCCGGAGCTGCAGAAGAGGCTGAGGGCGCTGCTGTAGTTGGGACGTTGTAATGTTGGACGATTGTTATGACTGTACATGAGCATCGAAATGGCGTGGCTGGGTTTGATTTAGGTGTTTGTCAGGCGTATGGGTTCCATTACCTAGGTAGTTCCATGGTAGATACTGTATCGAAAGATCTCTTCGTTAAAACGCATCGTGTCTGATCCCTTGTTATGATAAAGGAGATGTGCCGCATGCCGCGCCATTTTGGATGGATCGTGTCTTTGAGGTGAACGCGTTCGGCACTCAGCTCGACGCGTTTGGATGTGGGCCGCGGTTCACGTGATCATGTCTTATCGATAATGAGCGACAACGTCATCATCACCTCGGCCGTCGCGGAGCTCCATGGCCTCCTCAACTCTCCATCAATTCCTGTTCGGTGTCTTCCTCATGAGCGTGTTTACTGCGACCATCAAACGATACTCGCTAGCACCAATCTCTCGCACTTTTACCAAGGTAAGCGCGAGCAATTGCTACCATCATCTCAGATCGGAAGTTGACGCCAAGCAGCCATCGTCCCCATCTGCACGTACCATGCATATCCAATCAATCCCCATGTGTACGAGCACCCTGATGGGGCATCTTAAGCCATCAGAAACCATCTAACTCACTAACCAGGGGAGGGTTCGGGCAACAACTATGCCTACCTAGTCTCAGACGACAAGACTAAAGAAGCCGTTATCATTGACCCTGCCAACCCTCCAGAGTACGCTACGAGACATAGAGAAGGAGGTGTCTAGCTGACTTGGCTATAGAGTTCTACCCGTGTTGCGGGAACAGACTACCACCGGAGGTCTCAAGCTGACCAAGATCATCAACACTCACCAGTAGGACAACCGCGCTACACGATGCGACTTCGCTGACGTATCGGATAGCCATGGAGACCATGCTGGAGGCAACGTGGATACAGTAAGTTTTGAGAGAAGCAAGCAGGTCGATAGTTCGTCAGCTAACCGTCCTCCCAGATCAAGGCGTTCGGCTTACCTGTAATTGGCGGTCGCGACTGCGACAAGGTCTCCGAAACCCCCAGCCACAACAGTACCTTCAAGATCGGTTCCATCAACGTCAAAGCGCTCCACACACCGTGCCATACGCAAGACAGCATATGCTTCTACTTCGAAGACGGCAACGACCGCGCCGTTTTTACCGGAGACACACTGTTCATCGGCGGTTGCGGGCGGTTTTTCGAAGGCACTCCAGAACAGATGCACAAGGCTCTGAATGAGACCCTGGCGGCTCTTCCAGATGATACAAAGGTTTACCCCGGGCATGAGTACACGAAGGGTAATGTCAAGTTTGCCAAGAGTGTGCTGAACAACGATGCCATCAAGAAGCTCGACACATTCTCACAAGAGAACAAACAGACGCAGGGCAAGTTCACGATTGGCGACGAGAAGAAGCACAACGTATTCATGCGCGTCGACGATCCCGAGCTCCAGAAGGTTACTGGCAAGACTCAACCAATCGATGTCATGGGAGCGCTGCGAGCCATGAAGGACAAGTCATAAGACAGAAGATTTGCACAAATAAAATAGCATCAGAGCATCCTGCTATGCTGCCTGGACTAGATGCCTTACTTGCAGAATACCTCCGTGAATGATCCACGTTAATCTGTGCTTGTCCTGATGGGAAGCCAACAGCGCCAGTAGCAAAGGAGGTATAACTGCGGGGAAACCATGTTGACAAAGTGTGAGTGCAGATTCAACGTCGTATCTCTGGGGTTTGGTGCGATCAGTGGCAGGGCGCCTGAGGGCAGATGTTCGTGAGGCATGCGGTACTTGACTCACAAGCGATGACTGGACTTGCGGTTCGTAATATTTAAGCACACCATTGTTCCATCCGAAAGCGCGAAACAACTTCAAAGCATCTTCTCTGGCCATCAACCATACTGCCTTTTCTTTTCGCGAACAGCGAATCTCTAAGAACATCAATATTGGTCGGCATGGCTGCCAACGGCGTCACCACGAAGGCGCTCAACCAACGTATGAGACTAGACCAGCAGGAGACGCTACCACCTCACAAGTACTACGAGAACCGCTATGATTCAATGCAGAGTCTTCGCCAGAATACATGTGAGAATGGCATTTATTCTTCTTTCATCCCCAATCTCCTGGACCTTGGCGCATTTCGCGCTCGACATGAATCTATAACGACTGGCCACCAGCTCGAAGACGTAGAATACGCAATACGTGGACGCATCGTCACTATTCGTAGTGCAGGAGAGCGTTTGCGCTTCTACGAAGTTCAAGCGGGCGAGGACAAGATACAGGTCGTGTGCCAGGCGACTGAACAAGATGACGTCGAAGCATACAAGCAGCAACACGAACACCTCACGAGAGGCGACCAAATCGGTGTGATCGGTCATCCGGGACGAACAGCACCACGAAATCGACCCGTGGGCGAGCTCTCGCTCTTCGCGCACAAGGTCATTCTGCTAGCACCCAGCCTGCACATGCTGCCGAAGACGCTCACTGACGCCGAAACGCGACACCGCAACCGACCCCTCGACTTCATCACGAATCGACGCAGCCGCGACATGTTGCGTACCTGGGACGCAATGGAAGCCTACATCACCACGTTCCTCCGCAGCCGCGGCTACATCTCAGTCGTAACACCTATCCTCTGCCAGCAAGCCGGCGGTGCAGCAGCCAAGCCCTTCATCACCCACCACAACGATCTCAAGCGAGACATGTACCTCCGGACTGCTACTGAGCTCCATCTCAAGCCCTTAGTCGTTGGTGGCATTGATCGCGTGTTCGAAATCGGACGTGTGTTTCGCAATGAAGATATGGATCTGACTCACAATCCTGAGTTTACAAGCTGCGAGTTCTATCAGGCGGATGCTGATTACGAGGTGATGATGCAGTTGACGGAAGAGATGATTTCTGGTTTGGTGAAGGAGGTGACTGGGTCTTATGTGACCAGGTTCAAGAGTCAGACTGGTGACGAGCGCGAGATCAATTGGGAGGGACCGTGGGAGCGTATCGATATGATTCCAGCCCTTGAAGCTGCCTGTGCCGTTAGTTTTCCTCCCCCATCCGAACTCCATACGGAAGATAGTCGGCAATTCCTACTCGGCATCTTGAGCGATCGCGACATAGCTTGCTCGCCCCCGCATACGAATGCCCGACTGCTCGACAAGCTCGTCGGCGTCTACATCGAATCGCGCATTAAAAATCCCACGTACATCATCCACCACCCGAAGCTCATGTCTCCACTAGCCAAGACGCATCGCGCAATTCCTGGTCTTACAGAACGCGCTGAAGCCTTTGTCTGCGGCCAGGAGATTTGCAACCTATATTCCGAACTCAACGATCCGTTCGAGCAGCGCGAGCGGTTCCTCGAGCAGGCTCGGCAGAGGGCTCAGGGTGATGACGAGGCGCAGGGCATTGATGAGGAGTTCATCAAGGCGCTGGAGTATGGGATGCCGCCCACGGCTGGGTGCGGACCTGGACTTGATCGTATTTTGATGTTCTTGACGAACAATTACTCAATCAAGGAAGTTTTGGCGTTTCCCATGATGAGGGAGGAGATGAAGAGGAGTGGGGGTGGGCCTGCGAATGCTCAAATTGATCAGGCGGTTGAGAAGGCCGAGCGGGTGAGGGCGCTGAGGGCGCAAATGGCAGCGCTTGAAGCTGAGATCGCGGGGCTGTCCATCGATAATTTAGAATGAGGCTTGTGGTCAGGTAGTGAGGGTTAGCATTGTCTCCTTCGGGATCGAGAAGATAGGACCAGAAGTGCGCAAGATCATTGGCGGGAGATGTTGATTCCTTCGTAACACCATACCTCGTATGCTATTTCACTCGTAGAAATTTCAAGAATACCGGCACTGTGAATACCCCGAAATCGCGAAATCCCCGACACACATCTCAATAAAATCCTACCAGCCCGAAGCTTGACGAACACCCCTCTTAGTAGGCATCGTCTCCTGCTCTTCAGTTCCTGAAAATCCAATGTTAGCACTTGCTATAGGAAGTACCCTGAATACAAAAAGAAAACGCTGGACAGGATTATATGTTCGTACTCAGTCGGTGGACCACGGGGACCGAGCTTGGTGGCAAGCTGCCGTATTCGGTGATGACCATGTTGATGTACTGCGCGGGCGTGACGTCGTAGAGCACTTGGAGATGGTGCAGGTTCTTTGCATCGTCAATCCATTTCAGAACGTCTGTGGTATCGGCAGGTGCCTCCTCTGATGACGACTTGTCGTCGCTCTTTGAAGCCGTAAATCGTGACTTGAGAGGAAGGAGCTCGCGGCGCTCAGCCTCGGAGAGGATTTCCTCGGCAGGGGCGACTTCGTTTCCGACGATGGAGTCCAGCGCTACCTTCTCAGTGAACTTCACTGATTGACAGAGTACGATGACGGGCAACGAGTGAGAGTAGGCAAGCATGGAAACCAGAGCTGTGCCAACGCGCGAGTAGAGGCGGCCGTTCGACATCATCGCGTGAGCACCCAGGAAGACCTTCGTCGCGTCCTTAACAGCATGCGAAGCTCCTGTGATGAGATAGTAGCGTACTGAGATGCCGTGGTTTGCGAGTTTCCGAGCTAGCTGCTTGCCCTCGAATAATGGCTTTGAGTCCACGACGATGACTGAGAAGGGTTTGCCGGACTGGTGAGCATGTATGATGGTCTGTTCGACAATCGAAGATGCCGCGTAGATCAGGATGACATCACCAGCTTGGATCTTGGTAGCTGCCAGGTCACGAATGAGCCGGTCAGCAGCTGTGACACGTTCGCGGATGAATATGTCGATCTCCTCAATCAGGTCTCGCTTTGCCTCATTCTCCGGAGTTGAAGGATCTATCTTGATGATGACTGGAAGATGTCAGTATTTCTCCTGAAGCTCTCTAAACAACTCCGATGCTCAGTCAAGTCGTGTCTGCTCTGTCAATCTAATGTGAAATTCCAACTTACTATCCTTGAGCCACCGGATTGCGTTTCCCATACTGATGCTGAGCGGTCGACAGCTCTTCAGAAACTCGATCTGAGGACCAAGGTGATGGCTGGTTAGATGCCGGGCCAAACTGTTTCCTGGGGGTGTTTGATAGGCCTCGATCACTGTCTTGAATACCAAGAGCATGGCCACCATACGTGCCGTGCTACCACATATGGCGTAGCTGCTATACTGTAGGCCCAGCGCCAGAACCGCAGGATGTACATCTTTTGACGCGCCGACAAGAGACTGCTGCTTCGGCTGGCTGTAGAGATGACCAAAGAACAGACCAGTCTGTTTTGGTTCCTTCTCTTTCTTCGTCTTTCTCTCTGGGTCTTTCACGACTGGTACGGCTTGCGATGAGCGCCGCCATGGTGGCTGTGGTCTTGACTTGTCGTCTTTTGGTGTCTGCTTCGAGTCTTTTTGCTGTTTCTGGGTGTCCTTTGGAGGTCCTTGCTGTTGGTTTGGTGCACCAGCCGCAGCCTTGGCTTGGGCTCGCTTTGCTTGCTTCTCGGCCGCCCTTTGCTTTTTCAACTCCGCTGGTGAGAGCTTTTTGGGCCCGTCTGTGGCGTCGCCATTTGGTGTTGCAGGTGCACCTTCTTGGGGTGGTACTACTGCAGCAGCGGGTGCTGGCGCTGGCTCTGCAACGGGTGTCTCAGACATGGCGATGCGACCTTCCTGTTTCTCTCGTCCTTTTGGAATTGGAATGTGGCCAGTCAGGTGTAAAACGATCAGGCGTGGTGGGGCAAAATCAAATGTCGTGGCGTGAACTTGATCCGAAATTCAGTATCTCCAAGCCTGCAGATATTCGTGGGTCGTTTCTATTAGGTGGAGTAGTGTAGCGCGTGTATGGTCAAGCGTCGCTGGGCAGGCGGAAATTTGATAGAGACGCGTGAATTGAGTCAGAAGTTTGGTCGCTACTTCTGGTTAGCGCAAAAACGGAAATGTCCCGCAATGATCCCCGCGCTCCCTGCGTCATTGGGCAGGCATCCGTCGCGCCTTCTCCAACAGCGCAAACATCTTGTTTACTCACACGTCGTCATTACCGATGGAGCAGGCTTCATTACTTCACACTTAAACACCGACGCCTCTTTGAATATTCTTCTACTATACATTCGACCCGCCGGAAAAGGTGTCTAGACGCCTCGCAACACCAAGATGGCCGACACCATCAGCTCCATCACCGACCTGCCCCTCGACATCTTCGTACTCGTATTCCCATACCTCGATGCCAAGAGCTTCCTCGCCCTCTGCAGCACGTGCAAAGCCTTCCAGCAACCGTCGATTCGATTAGACCCAGCGTACTGGAGCTACCTCGCCCGAACGACCTTCCGCGTACCGAACCAGCCAGTCGTGCAGCATGACGGCGACCGCTGGCAGAAGATGTATCGCCGCATGCTCACGCAGAGCCGCGTATACACATGGGGCCATAACTCGCACAACCGCTTGGGGCATGCTTCAGACCCGGAGGACCACGCACATGGTCGGACGCCTCGAATGAGAGGAATGAGAGCTGGGATGATGCGGCCAGGCAGGCGCATGTACAACGCCCATCAAGCCTTCCCGACGGAGATGGACAAGACACGAGAACTAGGAGTCATTGCCGACATGCAATGTGGTGGCTGGTCCACGACCTTGCTCACCTCCAAAGGTACCCTCTACACTGCCGGCGCCCTTGATGGCCAAAGGATACTCATTGCCAGTGGGCCCCTGCAACCACTCCGCTTTCCAGAAGGCTATCCCTCAAATGCCTCTGGGGCCCAATACGAAGAGCCGACTGTCGCTATCCGGCAGTTCTCCTCCGGTCGCGCACACATACTTGGACTCTCCGACAGCGGCCGAATGTGGTCGTGGTACGATGTCAAGAAACCTGCGCTCCAAGTCAAGTTCGCTACTCTGCAGCTGAACGAACTCTCCTTGAACGAAAAGTCGAACGCAACCTCCAACTTCGGACAAGTAAAGCAAGTGGTAGCAGGATGGAGCCGCAGCTCGGCCTATGTCCATGGCGTTGGCATTGTCGTGTGGGACCCCGTTGAGCGAGATCATGGCGACGAAGGCACAGACACTATGCTTGTCTTGGAACATGCCGAGGTTCCCAAGACTGGCTACCAGCATGTCAAGGGCAGCCGCGAGTCAGATGAGCAGAGAGTCCTGCGTCAAGAGGTCGGAGCAGTACTGAACTACGTTATACTAGAGCACTTTGTACTATTCAGCACAGACCTGGGCAAGGTCTTCTGTGGCAGATTCGAGGAAAAGAATCGTATCGAAGATATTGTTGAGCTCGAAACTCTGCGTCACGAGCAGGGAGCTCCTCTCGACGTTCAGGGCTCTTTCCGCAACTTTGCCATCTTCAGGGACAACGAAGTGATTACCGGCGACCAGAACTACCTCGAATCATGCTGGAGCAATCGTCATAGTCCAGGGGATGTGCAGGGACTGAAGAAGATTCCAGCCTTGCAGAACAGCAACGTTATCTCCATCGCCTTCGGTGACTATCACTACCTGGCACTCCACTCGGACGGCAAGATAACTTCATACGGCACTGAGAACTCAGCCTGTGGCGCACTGGGCTTAGGCTCGAACGGTGACAGTCTGGTTGGGAATGCGCGAGGTATTGTGTATGACCGGTTCAATGCCAATGGACAACTTGTTCCTCACGCCTACACACGCGGTCGTCAGATCTGGTTCGATGCGAGGAAGAACGAGTGGCTCAAGCAAGCGGTCCACGACGAAGCACACGCAGAAGAGAGCCAGGAGCGCAGGGAGATGTTCAAGACCGACCCCAACGTCCAAGGCGAAGTCAGTGAGTGGTTCGAGCAGGAAGGCAAAGTCTGGGATCAAGACCGGGGTGAAGACGGTCTTGGTGCCTATTTCGCTCTTCGTGTGAGTGCTGCAGGATGGCACTCGGGCGCTTTGGTTCTGGTCAACGAAGAGTTGGCCAAAAAGGAGCCTACATACAACCGCGAGGATGTGCATTTTCCCAGGCTCAAGCTCTCTGATGGTAGAGAGATGCCCGGTCAGAGGGACTTTGATGAGTGGAGAGAGGGACGACCAGACTTCCAGTTGAGCACCTAGACTGGGAGACTTAGCGCTACTCAGAAGGTACTTGCTATAGCTCCTGCCATCAATTTTACAAATACCACATGCTCCTATCGCATCTTCACCAAGTACCCCACTATCTTGGCAGAGATTTGTGCGTTACCGTTCAGCCTGGTAAAATTCCTTCTGATGCCTGCATGCAGTGCCGACATGGTGGTAAGACAGCATGATGTCTTTCGGCGAATGAACGAGGCGGTAGCTGACCGGTCGGAAGCGGGGTGCAGGTTGTGTGATGTGTTGCTCAGCCTCGAGTAACCCCACAATTTGTGCGATCAACCTACACCAGCCTGACAAGGTCACCAAACTAAAGCTTCATTCCGATATGGCGTCCGTTGCCTCCTGTTTCTTCGATCTTGTACTCGTCTTTCTGAAACTACTGGAGATCACGTGTCTGCTGCTCAAACTCACCGCTGGGACTTTCCTGCGTCGTTTGACTGGCCAACATGATGCAGAACCGGTTCATATTCCTAGCGTGGCCTCTGTCACTTTCAACGAGCTTTGTGCAACCTGTCAGGGTATCGTGGATATTATCAGCCATCCGGGATGGCATAAAGACCTTGTCCATCACGAATCACTAGCATCTCTGGAGAACTCTTCGGAGCAGTTCTGCGGGATATGCTCGGAAACCCTCGGATATATACAAAGAGAGTTCGCTGTTTACTCGGAGACATTGTTTCCAATCAAATGCGAATCTGATACTTCGTCGGCAAGTTGGCAAAGCTCTTTCGAGTGGAAGTTGACGTCAGATGGTGTGAATGACTTTAGTCTGGGATTCACATTCGAGGTCATCGAGAAGCTTCGACGTAAGCCTTAGCTAGCAGCATGTATCAATTGGATTAATTACTCAATTTCAAACAGGTGAGCACACGGCGTACAAACCCTCTTCGTCAACATCTTCCCCCGAGACCTGGAAATTGATCGAACGCTGGATGAATGATTGTACTCAGAGACATATTCGTTGCAACGCAGCTATTCCCGAACGCTGGTTCCCGTCGCGAGTGCTGGATGTCGGCGCTTCTGATGAAGATCGCGTACGATTACTGCATCGTGAAGACATCCCCCATGGGCACCCTTACGCAACTCTCTCTCATTGTTGGGGAAATCGTCATATGCCAAAAGTGACGACATCGTCTTTATCTCAACTGGCGAAAGGCATTGATTCATCGTACTTCACGAAAACGTTCCTGGATGCATTTATCATCACTCGAAAATTGGGCCTTCGTTATCTCTGGATTGATGCTTTGTGTATCCTACAGGACGACATAGAAGATTGGAACAATGAAGCTAGTCTCATGAGCCTTGTGTATAGGTACTGCTTTATCAATATAGCTGCCACAGGGTCAGAGAACCATACTGGAGGTTGTTTCTGGGATAGAAACCCACGAGCTGTATTGCCAACCGAGTCAAGTATATCCTGGATTGGTCGCAAAGGGGATGCAACGAAGAGGTACCTTACCGTATGCGAACCTAACGTATGGGCTCAAAAGCTCACACGTGAACCGCTAAATCAACGTGCCTGGGTACTTCAGGAGCGTGTCCTTTCGCCACGTGTTCTTCACTTCGGCCGAAGACAGCTTTTCTGGGAATGCAGGCAATTTGTTGCCTGCGAGACGTACCATCAAGGTCTTCCCAATGGTGTGCGTGGGCATACATCCATCGACATCAAAAGACTACAACTTGGCGACGAGACGAGAGACGACCGTTGGCCAGCAAAACACATTTCGCAAATTCCACCGGGTAGCAGCCCTTCGAGAAGACTCTTGAACGCTATCAGAGCAACGTTTGCGCCTGTTTGCATTCAGCAGGTTACGATGCACGCTGCTATGAAGTCGGCTTCGGTTTTCCAGGATTGGGATGCGATTATTGAACTGTACACCGCATCCGAAATCACCTTTGATTCTGACAAACTCCCAGCTGTAGCAGGTCTTGCTAGCAGTATGTCCATTGTTGAACCGGGCGAACCTGGGGACGGCTATCTTGCCGGCCTGTGGCAGTCTTCTTTGCCTGCATACTTCCTATGGAAAACTACGAAAAACGAATTGTCGCGCGCCTTACCGACGCGCCCGGAGGGACGACTGATCGCGCCGACATGGTCCTGGGCCTCAATCAGAGGCAAGATCTCACTCGTATCTTGCCAACACAACTACAACTCCGACGACTACCTAACGGTTCTCCAGGAGGCTGTAGTGACTGACCTTGACGGTTATCGCTTCGGTCAAGTGATTGATGGGTACGTTAAACTTCTTGGCCCCTTAGCCTCGATATGTTGGACAGCCAACCCCAGCACCCACTCCTCACTTGAGCTCAAAACCGGCAAGATAACCCAGATCTTCCCACAACATTTCGGCAGCCATGTTCCGGTATCAGTTACACCAGACAGCTCGTCTGGTCCTGAAATCTTTTTTGACACAGCAGTAAGCGGCACGCCATCTCCAGGAAGGTTAGAATGCATCGATATGACTTCCGAGGACCAAGTACTCACGCTCCTGCCCATCGTTGGGGTCAAGAAGAGAATCGCGCACGAAAGCGAAACAGTCATTGGATTGGTATTGATACCAGCCAGG